TCTGTGTCATATCAGGTGGGGTGGGAACAGATGCTTTGTTGACGTTTGGGTTTCGTAGTGCGTGGTTACCGATGTTGATAAAATAGCTGTTGAAGGTGTTGCAGATCGATGTTGGGTTGGTTATTTTACGTCCATCTGAGTTGAGGATGTTGATTTTCCCTTTCTTTATTGATGATGTTCCATACTGTCTTGTTTCTGTTAGGGGCATTGTTTATTATGCTCATTGTATGTTCAGACTTCTTTTTTTATATCTGTCATATGCTCTTTTGAAGTTACTGTAGATTTTTTTGTCTTCCTCACTACCGCTGAGCAGATATTTGTCATGGGCTAAGCTTGGCTGTGGTTTCATCCCAGAAAGTATGATTGGGTTTTTTTCTAAAAATTTATGCTAATCTTCGGCATAGTATTATTTATTTCATGTGTTAGGATATTTACAAGGGCATTGTATTTAGTGTCGACAGATTGAGCTGTGTAGATTTCACTCCAGCCGTATTGGCTTAGGTTTATTTTGAGCTGGTCTAGTTTGGTTTTTGTAATATGCCTGACTTGTTTCTTGATGGGTAGGTTGTGGCGGTTTATTAAGGTGCAGCTGATTCCCAGATGGTCTGAGAAGGACATTTTGTGGGTTTTTAGGGCAGTGTTGTGGAGTCCCAGATTTGTAAGGCAGATGTCAATACTGCTGACCGAGGTGGGGGTTATTCTGGTGGCCAAGACTTTTCCGATCCCTAGGTTGTGTTGGTCTGCAAAAGCTATTAATTTCAATGTGTCTGGTTCGTGTGGGCGTAGGATATTTACATTTATGTCTCCCATAGATGGTCTTTTGTTTCTTTTAGAGTATATTTCCAGGAAGGGATCTAGATGTTTGGTAAATTCTTCGATGGGTTTAGAGGGAGATCTATTTAAGCTCCAATCACTGTTAGTTGTTGTTTAGGAAGGTGTATTGCAACCATTTCTGAGGGTGAGTTCCTCGCAATGTGGCTTGATGTAAATTTCTGAGTAGGAGTTGTTGTTTGATTTTTTAGAGAGATGGCGATCCCTCCCCATTTATGTAATGTCCTTGAGAAACTTGTAGTCAGGGAGTAGTCGGGTAAATTAATTTGGTTTATGTGTTCTTCGGTTAGGCCGTGTTCGGATATGATGATAATGTCTGGGTCTATTGAGCTGATTTCTGATTGTAATTTACTTAGTTTACTGTGGAGCCCTCGTTGAATGTTGAGGTGCAAGATTTTTAATTTTTTCGAGTGATTTTTCTAGTGGATGCTGTTTCTTGGATGGTTTTTGGGGTGGTGGGTTTAGGTTTAACTTGTGGCAGGAGGGGGGGGGGAGTTTGTATGTTTTTTGGAGACGGGGCCGGTTTTAGGTTGTTGGTATTTACTGTGGTTGGTTGGGAGTTGATGGGTATTTGTTGGGTGGAGGCTTCCTGGGTTTCTTCAGTTGGCTGAGGGATTTTGCTTTGGTGTTGAGGGCATGGGTGTTCACTGGTTGGTTTGTGGCTGGGATGGGTGGTAAGATTGGTTTCCATGCTAGGCTGAGGTCGGTGATAATGTTAGAAAGAATAGTGGCACATTTACGGTTGGGGTGAATGTTGTCGGGTCCGTAGCAGTCTTCTTGGCAGGCTGGGTTGGTGTCAATGAAATTTAATTTGAGCTCATTACACATGTAGTTCAGTGCTGCATTTGTTTCTTCTATGTGTTTGTCTCTTATGTCTCATTGATAGATTATGCCATTTAAAAATCATTTAGTGTGTGGGGATTTCATTTTGGCGGCCTCTATTGTCAGCCAAAGCGGCCTCACAACATGGTTGGGCGTTTTTCAGGGTGGCTAGTGAAATCACATTGAAAAATTCCCTGACAATTCCATGATTTTTTTAAACTTTCCCTGATCGACAAATTCCAAATTACAATGTTAATACTACCTAACTAATTATTCAAAATGACTAATCTTTATCTGAAGAATATCTTATGTTTGTTTACATGAAAAACAAACATAAAATCTATAGATACAGGCTAGCTTATATTCAAACTTTGCAACTTACCTTAATAAAATTAAACTGAGTTAAGATGATACGCAGTTTATAATAAAATTTGATTAGTACAAAAACACAAAATTTATTTGTAGAGACACATTTCTTAGTTTTCACCCACACGGCACACATACTCTCGACCTTTCCTAACAATTATTTAAATTATGTTAAACATTTTACAATTTTCCCTGACTTATGACAAAATTCCCTGACTTTTCCATGACTTTTCTAGATATTTAATATTCCCTGACATTTCCAGGTTTTCCAGGTCACTAGCCAACCTGGTTTTTGAGTGTGCCAAATTATTTGATCCAATATTAATAACTATTTGGTCAGGCAGTTTATCTGCTTCGCTTAGGTAGCCTACTGACTCAAGTCTCTTATGATGGCTCCAGATCGGACTATGGTTATGACATCAATCTTGTGGTTCTCTTTTATAATGCTTGCTGCAGCTCTTAGTGTTGAGTCTCCGATCAGTAATGTACTTTTTTTGGTTGCTGGCTGTTAAGTTTTATAGCATCTGGGGTTGGGCATATTCAGATTAGGCCTATAGTCAGACTTGTTTGCGGTTGGGTTTAGTTTGGTTAGATTATGAATCTGTTTTTGTGTCGGGCGCTCTCGAAGGGTATGTCAGTAATCGGGTTTGTAGATGTTTGGTTATTTTCAGGGCTGGAGGGAAGTTTAGAGGTCTCCTATACTAGATCGTGGATGGTTTCCTCAAGTCTGGATATGACTTTCAATTTGCGGGCTATTATGTCAAATAGTTTTAGGTTTTCTTCATTTTTTGTGTCTAATTGAGTTTTTAGGGTGTATGTTCTCTAACAGAAGTTCAACAATCTTGTTTGTTTGGTCAGTTTTTTTATATGTTAGGCATTGAGAGACTTCCGGCTGTGGTAGTACTGGGTCTGGGCTTACGTTATTGTCAGGCGGATCTTTTTTTGTGGGTTCAGTCCTGCTTGAGCAGGTCTTACACATCCGATCAAAGAAATGATTGTTTAGGGAAAACGTCCTATATTGCTTGTCGGTGGCATTTACACTTTATATGATACCATATTAGACAATCACATTTGATTGCTTTGTCGTTTTCTTGTACTTCTATGTTACATACAGCACAGGGGTGGATAGGGCCCTGATTGTTAATTTGGGATGACCTTGTCATGGTTATTTAATTTGTTGTTTCAGAGGTTGGTTTGGTTAGGTTAGGTTTGGAGGAGGATTGACGGATGCTATGGTGGGTGATGTGTGAGTGTGGTGGATGCAAGGTGAGGTGCGATTTAATACTTGTGGTTGTTGGTAGGTAGGCCTAATGATATATAGTGTGTGTGGGATGGGGTGAATGACATAGGATGTATGATTTGGTGGGTAGATGAGAAGGTGTGGGATTACAAGATATGAAGCAGGATGATGTAGTAAAAGATGAGCAATATGATACTGTATACAAAATATTACATATGATATACAAAAATAATACACAATAAGATAAAAAAAGAGACAATACAAATTCAGAGAAAGGAGACAGTGGGTGTCTAGGACTAGCTAAGGGCCAGAGTTTGGTAGGCTATCTAAATTATTACTTTGGTGGGGGAAGAGTTGCTTATGTGTTTGTATATCTAGGTTTATGTGAGTGTTTCATGTGATTTTTGGTAGTTTTTTTGTTTGTTTGGGTGTAAAACTATGTGTATAGGCCTATTTGTGTTCTGTAGCAATAGTTCGAGTATAGTAGTGATGGGAACAACTGATTGAAAACAACCGATTCAATCGATTGTTGGAAAACAACCGAATAGTCGGTTGTTCCCCGGATGTGATTGAAACTAGGCCTAGTCACTTCATACTCTCGGTCCTACAGCGACTGGAACCAGTCAACCACTCGTTGGAATAACTGGAAACAGTCAATATGTCGGTGATTGCAACTAGTCGGAAGAACCACTGACTGGTGAATGAAAACGGTAACGGTTGTAGATAATAAACTCGTACTGTACACAAATTTTGAACAGTGTTTAGGTATAATTAAAATAATGTAACTTATGTGTATTTTGATGTCTTAAAAAATGTTTAATTTCCAAGTCACTGTTTTTTAGTTTAGGAACTCGTGATTTAGATGTAAATGACTAATAGAGTAGGCCTAACATCCGCTTCAAAAACCATAACCAAGTAATAAACATATAGGCCTAACTTAGGAATATTTGTTTTACTGAGTTAAGTTTGAGATGGTAGGACTACTGGATAATTGATAACTTGTCCTATAAGCTAAAAAAATTTTATTAAGTACTGGTAACAATACATATACAACATTTCAACACAAAAGACAACAAACAATAAATCAACAACAAAAACTCTAACGTTTCCAGTAATAATGTGATAGATCATTTTCCTTGCCATGAATGAAACCATTAAGGCGATTGAACACCACCACCAGTTGTAGTTTGTAGTGGAATTCACTCGGTTTTTCATTCAACTGAAAACCCCGACTGGTTTTAAAAACAACCGATTGACTAGTTGATTGTTTTTTTCCAGTCGGTTGTCCCATCACTAGTGTATAGTCATAGTCCATAGTCCTCGCCACTCTAACTTGAGGCTGCCCAAGGCCGCACTAGATATATGGTGTGCGGCCTTGGGCTGCCTCAAGTTAGGGTGGCGAGGACTATAATGATGTATGTATGTGACGTGTGATTGGTTGGCTGAACTTGATGAAGTTTTCCTAAGCTGTCCTCTGATTGGTTGAGGTGTTTTGCTTTCTGAGCTTGGCTTCTTGATTGAATCAAGATGGCGGATCACAGTTACATAATTAACTTTTGAATAGATGTTAATGATGAATAAGTTCAGCTATCACAGAAAGCACTTTGAATTTTCAGAGGTTGTAAGATTGTTTGAGTTTATGGAGTCTTGAATAATTAAAAATTTGGAGATACTAATTTAGAAATAATGAATGAAAGTTCTGAGTGAAGCTCCTATGGTTGAGAAAATGGCATGGTCTTACCAATATGTTGCGATGTCCTTTTCGTGTCAATACTTGCCAGTATATTATAAAGTTGTGAGTTTTTCAGATGTAACACACTTTTTAAATCACTTTGAAACTGTATTGAGGGTTTAATTTTAAAAGAAAACGTTTATAAACTGTTAAAAACTGAGGAGCTGCCCAAGAGACGATCCAGGGATCCAGTCCTGACCTGTGTGCTCACTGCTCAGCTCAGCCAGAGCCAACTTCTTCTTCCTCTATCCTATTCCTATACTCTAGTCTAGGGACTGTCCTCTAGGGACAGCACATGAGCATAATATTTTTGTGTCCTGCACGTCAAAGATTTTCAGTCAGTTCGCTCAAAAAAAAAGCAGGTTTAAGTTAATTTCTCTTCTACTTACTTTTTCATTCTGAATCATTTCAAATCATTTATTTAGCCAGAATTTTAACTAAACCTATGTTCACTGAAACCTTAAGAGGGTTTTGGCCTCCCATTATCTAGATACTCTTCTATCCCTTGCCTCTCCTAATGTTGATCCCAGTCTGGAGAAGTCTGTCATTGCTTGCTCCTCCAAGTGGTCGTCTTATTTGTGGTACTCATTGGAATACATTTTTAAAATTTAACGTATCTTCCCTCCTCCACGCATATATAGGTTTTTTAATATTCCTCTTAGCTCTCTGTTGTTTCGTATCTCAACCTTCGTTTCATATATGGCCCGTCTATGGTCTATTTTCTCTGCACTCTATTTCTCAAACCCAGCAATAAGCTTTTTCGGTTCTTTGGTCAGTGCCCAAGTTTCTGAAACATACACTACTGGGATAAAATGGTATGGTATGAATCCACTTTAGTATCTACTGACACCCTGCAGCTTATTGGACTTAACAAAGACTTAAAACAATGATAAATTAGTAAACAAAGAAAAGTAAAAGCAATAACAGATAGTTTGTTTTGAAAGAGATGTTTAGTTAAAATAACATTTATTTGAAAAAAAGAACTTGTCATCTCTGGAAGGAATTTGAAAAAGTAAACACGCTAGTAAGCTAGTGACGTAATTTTTCTATGTTTATTATCCATAATACTATCAGCTTTAATACTATCTGTGATAATACCCACTCTCATGTGCATCCTAATTTCCCATATTCATTTATTCAAACTATAAGATATTTAGTTAAAAAAATGATATTTTGCCTACATCAGCGCTTCCAAATATATACCGGTAACCTCACATGAACCACGGCCGCCTTTAACTAGAATAGAATAGAATATATATTTATTTTCTCTAGTTTCTAGTTTTAAGAACTTACAATACATTGTACATCTTTCACAATTATTGTACACTAATTTTCACTTGAAGTAAAACAACAAAAACAACTTGGTTATAATAAAAATAATAAACTACTGGCCGCAGCCTGGTAGAATTGGCAACATCGCAAGTGGTGTTGTTCAGTGACAGACGTCCCATAAGATAACATGGCAGACAGGTGACATCAGCTCATTAATTCTCCCTTTATTGATTTAAATTTAAATTTATGAACATAAATTTATTAAAATATTGAAAATAAAACATACAGAATTGAAAACCGAAACAATATGAATTAAAATCTGTATCTGTACATTTTTAAGCGGAGTCCATGGTGGAAGGAAACCGGAGTCAATATTGTCAAAGTCCAGTAACCAATCTTTCGTAAATACTCAAATACGCTGCTTCCAAACAAAACAGCTGTTACAAAACCACTTGCGACGTTGCCAGTTCGAAGGCCGCGGCCTGGAGTTAAAGGCGGCCGTGCATGAACACACGCCAAACAACGTTTTAGATTGTACTTAAGGTTAGTAAGTCTACTTGCAGTATCCTATGTTAATGATTAAATCGTGTTTAATCTATGTCATCCATCTGTTTATCTCTGAATAAACCCTGTAAAATAATTTGCATATTCTTTTCTTACAAGACTGATAGGCAGAGCCTCGATTTGTAGACGACAATGGTCTTACTTATCTCTATTGTCTACTTATCTCTACTAATTTCCTATAATCAATGACTAAATAGAATAACCTCATAGTTCTATAGAATATTTGTATATCCATCTAGCTGTTATTTCAATCAAATTATATCGCACTACAACAAACCCAAGATTTTAAAGACTGCTCTAAAAAAACAAAATAGATTATCCGTAATTTACAATGTATATATTAAGTTGTCAATTATCAAAGTCAAAATAAGAATAGTCAATTTCAGTACAACATTTCAATCACTATTTATTTACCCATCATTTTAACATTATTAAAAACATGTGACATTTAATCTTCACAAATAAGTTGTAGCACAAATATAAAGATTGATCAGTGGTCATACTTATGAAATTAGTCATTAACATCTTTCCCCTCCTCAGGTAGAATGGCAATTTTTGTCATCGGACGCCGAAAAGTACCTTTTGGTGTTGTGATGTCAACAACTCTTACTTGTCCATCTCGACCGGGGTATAGGGAAGATATTCTTCCAAGGGACCAGGTGTTACTTGCATTGTCTTCGTCTACGATTATTGCCCAGTCGTCAAATTCAGGTGGAACAGTTCTTTTATGCCATTTGCACTTCCTTTCCTTGTCAAGCAGGGTAAATACTCATGAATCCACCTTTTCCAAAAAATGTCCAGTAGGGTCTTAACTCGAGTTAGTTACCTTCTGCAAAGTTTGCCTTCATTGATATCTATTTTGATGGCGTCTCTAAGGAAATGGTTTGGAGTGAGCAGGTCTCGATCGAATGGGTCAATTGGTACATTAGTCAGTGGTCTTGAATTGATGATAAATTCTATTCGAACAAGAAAGGTTTGAAGTTCTTCATCCTTAGGATACTGGGAACGCATGACAAATTTTAATGCGGTTTTAACTGATCTGATGAGTCTCTCCCAGCATCCGCCCATATGTGGGGCTCGAGGAGGAATAAAGTTCCATTCGATACCTTGTCTGGATATGACCCTCTGAATGTGGGCATTGTTTAAACACTTAGTAGCATTCCTGAGTTCTTTGTCACTCCCAACAAATTTTGTCCCCTTGTCCGAGAACATCTCCGATGGACAGGGTCTTCGGCTAATGAAACGTTGGATTGCCATGATACAACTTTCTGTGTTCAAAGAATGTGCAACTTCCAAGTGGACAGCTCTAGTTGTCAAACATGTGAACACAACTCCACAACGTTTCTCGTGTCTCCTCCCTACAGTTACTTCTATCGGTCCAAATTAATCTACTCCAGTGTAGAAGAACGGGTGGCTAGTTCTTGTTACTCTGAATTCTGGTAGAGGCGCCATTTGGTGGGGGGGGGGAACAGGCTTCGCACAATTCAATCTGCACCTCATGCATTCTTTCTTAATTTTCTTTAGAAGTGATCGTAGATTTGTTATCCAGAATTTTTCTCTTATCTTGCACCCAACTGTCTCGAGACCTTGATGGAAACATTCATTATGATACATTTGTCCTATCAATCTCGAAGTAAAGTGTCGACCATCTAATATTATAAGATTTTTCTGATCTTCCGTCAGTTCAGGTGAGTTTGAGGTTCTTGACGACATTATTAAAATGTTGTTACAATCCAAATATAGGGAGAATGAATAAATGCGGTTTGACTTCGGAATGGACTTCTTTCTCAACAAAAGTTTCTTTTCTTCACCAAAGGTTTCATCCTGTACAGATTTTAAAAGAATTTCTTCGGCAGCTTTCAGTTCTTCAGGTTCCAGCTCAACGATGCTGTTGTAGTCTATTGGTCTAAATTGAAGTTGAGTTTTGTCGTTTGATTTGCACCTCGATTTTAAGTTATTGACATATCTCAAAATCCAAGCAACAATTCTAGTCGGTTTCTCCCATGATGAAAACTTTGAAATGTCAATTATTTTTGCTTCGACATCTGCATGTAAGCCGGTAAACCGGCGTTTCGTTTCATGGTCTTCTTTTACTTGTAGGTTCGTTGGTTGTGTGGGACAGTGTTCACAGTTTAAATATAGAAATTGGGGGCCATGGAGCCATATGTTTTGAATGTCAGACTTGAACCTTTTCATGCTTCTAGTTGCATAGTCGGCAGTAGGCTAGTCAATCTAGAGTCAAAATAAGCAATAGAAATGAAATATATGGGAATTTGTCAACAAAGGGGTCCACAACATCATACTAAAAATCGAGAAAAATCGAAGTGGCAGAAAGCCGCCATATTGGATTTGTGTAGGCTTTTAGCAAAATGGATATAGTTTGACAACTAAGTGTCTTAAAAATCTCCAGTTTGTTTTAATAGCTTCCTCATTAAGTCAACTTCAAGATAACAACTTTTATATTATTTAATTTTTTTTGTGTTTAAATTAGACAGCTTTAAATTTAAAAAATACCAAATTTCAAAGATTTATTTGAGTAAAACCTTTAATCTTTTGCAAATACAAACTCAGGTGATATGAAAATACATATTTTGTGGCTATTAAAATAATCTGCATTAAATTTTGAACAATAATAATCATCCCATCAGTTTGTATCTTGCCTTGAAGATGGGATATATTATGTGATATATTTGTTATTAGTCTTCTACTTGAGCGCTAGCCGTGACGCGCGCTGCACCGCTACATCTAATCCGGGTGAAATACACTTTGAGGTGGGAAAAATTGCTTTAAGAAAATTTAAGCCATATTTTGAAATCATTTATACGGGATAATAAACAAACAAAAATCCGAGCATGGGAACACTGAAAAAGTAGACGTTTTCAAACATACCAAAATTCAATTTTTGATAATAGAATAATAATAATTTCCAATATGGCGGCTTTCCACCACTTAGATTTTTTTCGATTTTTAGTATGATGTTGTGGATCCCTTTGTTGACAAATTCCCATATATTTCGTTTCCATTGCTTTAAGTTTGATGTTGAACCGTATTTTGACTAGCCTACAGGGTTCAATTTTGTGGGGACCCATTTCCAGTCTTCTGCTGAAGAAAGTGCTAATTGGGGTGTACCGAGGTATAAATAATAACACGGTTTTATACAGACTTGTGACGGTCCAACATGGTGAGGGAAGGAGATTCCATGATCGAGAGATGATGCCGGAAGAAGAGTATAGAGTATGATGGACTGGCCGCACAGGACTCTGGGTAGGGGTGGGGATAGGCTGTTGGCCAATCACATTTATTATGCCATATAGATTAGTAAACCATTGATTACATTGGTAT